TCCTTGATGCATTAAAGTTTTTTTTTAAAACTTTTTGTTATTTAAGTTAAAATTCTTTAACCGAATAGGTTCGTGTCCCTTGTCCTTTCGTTTTTCTTGACGGGGCCGAACTTGTGCCTCCTGTCTTTCTTGGGAAGGTAGTTCTTGTTGTCGTCCTATGTTTGGTCGTAGCTTGCTGTGTTGTTTTTACTGAATTTTTTTTTACAAAAAGATTGTATATTACAAATATTGTATATTTATGTATTTTAAAAATCAAAACACCCAATGTAATAGTAGCTGATGTTCCCTCTGATGATGGTCTATAGCAGGGGTCTCCAAACTTTTCGAAATGCGGGCCACATTAGGTAATTGAGCACTTTCAACGGGCCAGATAAAATGAGAAATTAATAACTCTAGGAAACGTTCTGGAAACATCCTTTGTCGGCTGGGAGGGGTAACCGATAGCCGTACCACACTGGCCGTCGTAGAATGGACTAAAGTTCCGGTAGCCTTATAAACATTCCTCACTACCAGTTCTTGGAACAGTTAGAGCAAAACTGGGCATAAGTTGCCTTTAATACAAAAATGGTAATATACGACACTGGCGGTGGTGATGATCTGCTACAATTACACTGCACCACTGCAAGAAGTCTTGTGCACAAGACGGCTAGTAACGAACTGCTCGCGCTACCTACATTGCCACGAAGTGACTTCCTATTGAGGCCGAACATGTATGAAGAAATACCCCGCAGTATACGGTCCAGAATAAGTAAAATTGTGAATAATATTGTAACGTGTTTTGTTACTGAAGACGCCGTTCGGATTGTTAATTGGTTTATTTAACAACCTACAAATCACGGCTACAATTAATTATAACAATATTGCGGGGTTTCACAATTTATAACCCTATTCGCAAATCAAATCACGCTATTGTCAGTAGACTACACGTTTCACAGTACGGGAGCTATATGTGTTACTGTATCACACACTCCCAATCAATTCTCAGTTATCACAAACTGTCATTGATTATCACACACTTTCACTCGAACTCGCCGCTGGCTAGATTCCAACTCTACTCGCAGGTTGCTGCCTTGAGAACTGTTGATAACACACTCCGGCGGCTGATGCACTTCAACTCTCTCCGGGGACGGCTACAAGTTAACTCGACTACAACTGAACTCGGCGATAGTCACATTACGACTCTGCTCGCATGCAGCGCAGCTCTCTTATATAGTGGCTGTGTGTGCCTGTTACGTAGCAACGCTGTTGGAAGTTGGTTACGGGTATGTAGCGTTGCGCGTTATGTCACCACAGAGGGGAGGGGAGGGGAGCGCTGACTCATCCGCCACGTCACTGTGGCCTGAGTTGCCACATTGCTGCTGGGTAGGGAGGTGTTCTCCGTTGCGCAGTGTCACAATATTAATATTAACATAATATGGAATATCAATATATTTTAAACACAATCTTAATTAATGAATTTGAAATCTATGACAAGTATTTTTTTGCCAGTACTCGTTGGAAAATTAGTTCAATTGGCGCATTTCTGCACAATTCTATGCGGGCCGTAGTTTGGAGACCCTTGGTCTGTAGGGACCGAAACATGTTAGGGTGCTAAGAAGTGAAGTAGTAAAAGCTTCCACTAGACGGAATTGTTTTATCATTTGTAAATTTGACTTCTTTGCAAAAAATGTCGCTGCCAAATTACAAGCATTAGGAAATAATGAACAAAGGATTTATGCAGAGAAATTAATAAATGATGCCCTTTTTGAAGCAGAGCTTGGATCACTTTATAGATACTCTTCAATCACTACCGGTACTGGAGCATACTATACTCTTGGCCCTCAGTCAAATATCTCTTTGGGTTCCAGCCACGATGATTGCATGGGTCACTACTAGAGAGGCAGGACAATATTACTTTAATTCTTTAACTCCTGCCTGGGCTATAGTATGTATGTATGTATTATGAGAGCGGGTGGGTTTCCCCATGCACTTAGACCAATTATTGGTCCATTGTGCATCCCCCTTTTCATAATTTCTACTGTCGCCATACCCTATCGGTAACGGTGCGTGCCATCAGCCCCCGTAGAGCCAACAAGGTCGGCCCCCGGTACCTTGATGCTTCCCCCATCCACCAGAGGCATTGGAGACTACTTGGGCGGGAAAGGGCCTGTAATTTAGCTCAGAGGTCTCCTAGAGACATGAGGTTCTTTTACGTGCCGTAAATCTATGACATGGTACACATGGCTTAAAGTCCCCCCTGGAGGACTTGTTCCTTGAATTTTTCTGCCCTTAAAAATTCCACGACCTCAGCCGGGTTTGAACCTGCGTACCTTGAGTCATGAGGTGGGAACGTTACCCCTAGACTACGGAGGCCGCTTGGGCTATAGTAACTGTTAGGCATGAGAGATTTTTTTAATGTGTGTACCATGACAATTTATTTATCTTCCTGTATTTATCATGATACCCTCACTTTTCATATCCTATGTAGTAAAAGTAAAAATGTTCAATGAAACTTGTTTCACTTACTTACCTTGCAATACTTCCTCAGTACTTTGTGGATTGCTTTGCAGGTCTCAGGAATCACTCTTCCCAATGCTTGTGGAGAGATACAAGTAGAAAGTTTCAGGTCTTCAAGGGTTCTTCCCGTAGCTAGATAATGAAGCGTTGCTGTCAATCTTTCATTAGGTGTGATCGCTTTTCTCATGTTTGTATCTTCTTTTTTTATGTATGGCGTAGCAGTACTTAACAGTTTCAGGTAAGTACTTTCATCCATAAGCAGGTAGTTGCTCCAGTCATTTGGAAAACATTTAAGTTCTTGAAGCAAATGGATGTTAGTGAAATGATTTCTTCTTTCTAACCACTGTTTGGTCCATAACTTACATCTGCGTTTCTTTTTAGCAATACACACGCGATAGTTGTATATGCAAACAGTTCATCAACTGTAGACGTGTTTTAAGAACTAAACAAGACTGCACTGCACTCGTCAGTATAGGCTGGAAGACTGTGACTGTGACTGTAACTGTGACATGCTGCCTGCCGGTTTATCTGCGCATGTATGTGGAAGGAAAGGGAGAGGGAAAACTGAAAGTTTTGCCTGTAAGGTCAGTCGGAAGGCCAAACTGTGTGTATGGGGGGCATTAAATGTGTGACAGTCACTTCCAGAACGAATGCCCTCAAATTTTCTTAGGGTGACTAATTGTCTGCAGTTGTAATCAGTTGATTAAAGTGCCATTTAACTTGATAAATTTTGAATTAACACATTGTTAACATGTCAGAATAATTATTTTATAGTCATTCCATCTTTCAAGTACTCCATAAGTTTTGATATTGTAGTTTTTATTAAGAAATGTTTCAGTTGATGTTGACACCAGAGGTCCAGTTGTTAGAATGAATTAGGGTTTTGTATTTTATCTTGTGATGAATCCAGAGGATGGATTTTGGACCACTTGCCAGGATAAGATATCTCGTGTGTTTTCTCAGCATCAATACCTGTGTATTTTTAATGTAAGCTTTGTTATATAATGTTTTTAACATTGTTTCAGAGAAATTTACATAAGAATCCTTTCTTTCTTGCTTTCACTCTAAAAGTTTTCTTAGTAACACTGGTCAGAGTCTGTTGTATTATGTGCCACACAATAATTAACTGAAGAATAAAGCAGGAAAATTGGAAGCTGTATAAAAATACATATATAAATGTTTTATAAATCTTATTTTTAAGCTGTTGAATTCATATTTAAACATATCTGCATAACAGGTGGGATGTCTGACCCTGAACTGTCACATCTGCTGTGTTGTGCAGCCTTGCTTTGTTGGTATTTGGAAGAAAAGACGAAGTTTAGTATAACCTTGCATGGGAGTTGAATGTAGTGCACATGCAAGTAATCATGTAAGTATTGTATATTATTAGGAGTTTGTT